GATTGGAAACAATAGCCCTCTCTCGCCAACATTTACGCCAATAGAATCCAATGAATCGGCACAATATTTAAAATTACTGATACGAGTAGTTTACCACAAAACAGCGCACAATTCACAAACACCAACATAACATTACCTAACAAAAATATTAAACTTAACATAAGTAACTGTAGCAACGTTACATTTAATATTTCTTAATTATTTTCTACTTCTTATTATTTTCTTCAATTTATAGATTATCTTAATGTGTTTTAATTGAAATAAAAATATTTTGTCATTATAAATTGTTTTCTTTTTCATTTTGTCATTTCCTCGCTGAGGTGGGATGAAAAGTTACGTATTGCACTCGAGTGGAAAGATTTTTCACCTTGTGCTCGTTTGTTTCCCTCGCTGACGCTCAGGATTCTAATTTAGAATCACTCGCTGCGCTCGTGATTCAACTTTAGAATCCTTCGCTTGCTCGGTCATCCAAATCGAGCACGCGGTTAAAAAGGAACTTTCCACTCTTGTATAATAAATAACTATTATTTATTGACGTTTCGCATCCTTTTCAGGAATGCGTCGTCGGAATAAAGACGATTATTCCTAATATACTATTAATACGATTATTCCGAGACGCGTTCCTGAAAAGGATACGAAACGTCAATAAATAAATTCAGTGCATATAACCCGTTAAAACTGATTTGATTAAAAATTCTCATGTGAAAAATAACGTATGGTAAATTTTAAGCTAATGGTTCATTAGCTTGAGTTAAAAAAATATATTTGCGATAAATAGGTACTTAGATGAAATTGACAATGTAACACAGGAAACCAACATTTCCTTGGCAAGACTTTAATTCCCTGCATTTTTTATTTACTCTATGTTTGTTTTGTATCACACTTACAGTTTTGATAGAATTAGATATTAAAAATTCAATTACTTGAGAATAGGTCCCTTTGACTGTTGAGTGACTCATCGAATATTTTATACACAGACATCCGCATATACAACAAATTTGAGCCCTATCCTTTCGGGAAAGAGATTAGTTTTAATCGGCTTACAGAAGTTGACTGTAGCTAATATTATGAACACCTACTACGCTTTATTGTTGGGCTAGGTATAGTAGTATACTGTGATTTCTATTTAACCTACTTTGCAGTATCGAGTTTCCGCGATTACGGCTTATATATATCCAGATTACAATATATGGACTGCGCAGACGAGCGACGTTTATTCGCGTAGGGCAAAAGTCCCGGAATATGAAAAAAATGTCCGCCGCGAATTTGCTACGGACTCAACGCACACTGTGTGCGAATATTTGTTTCCCAGAAATTTAGAGAAGTTTTTTTTTTTTAATTTCCAACACACACCAATTAGCCTAGCCCCAAAGTAAGCACTATAAGGCTTGTGTTATGGGATACCAGGGTAACGGATAGAATACATAAACTTTACGTATATAAGTATATTTATATAGAAATACATATAAAACATCCATGACTGGAGTACAAATGCTTGTGTTCATCACACAAACATCTGCCCCCACCGGAATTCGAACCCGGGACCTCTCGAGTCGGCGACGCCATGAAACCCGGCGTACAAACCACTCGGCCACGGAGGTCGTCATCGAAGTGCACGCAATGGAAGCAAATATTCTCAGACTATGTTGTGTTGTACTTAACATGAAGCTTAAAAGAGAATACTAGGTTCATTGAGCGCACAACGCAGACTAATAACTCAATTGCACTTGGTCGTTAATCCGTATTCGGGTGCACGGAAGACATTTCTCGAATTCGGGTACCCGAAGCAATACTTACACTGGAATACGGGCTGGAAGACGGTGACGGGTAACCAAAAAAACTACCCCAACACGGGCGTATTCACCTCCGAAAATTTTACACTTAGCCGTTTGCCCGAATTCCATTGGCACGAAAGCCCGAATACGGCTAACGACTAAATGAAATCGCGCCATAAAGTTTGCTGTGTAATGCACACAGCAAACTTTATGGCGCGCTTTCATTTTTCCTCCTAGTCACATGAGTTCTATTTTTTCGAGTACTCCCACGTACTTTTGTCCAGTCCGATCTCTCGGCGTCCTCGGTTATTTAGATGACGTATTAGACTCGGCACTTTTAATCCCACGTGTGCATTAATCGATGAAGTTGTAAGCGATCTGTTTTGGCGGACAAAAAAAGTTCGCGGACAAGACCGGCTTTGGGCAAGAATTTCCAAAAATTCCGTTCTGTAACTCAATCCGTTCACGATCTCCCAGAGTCCCGTGAAGTACTGACAAACAGACAAACAGATAGATGATGGAGTCACAGCAATAAAAGGGTTCCGTTTGTAGCCATTGGGTGTGGAACCCTAAAAAGTATAAATGTTTGATGCAAGGGCAGTGCTCCTGCGATTTGCTCCAAAAATCCCGGGTACGAAATCATGATATTTATTTACGAGTTGTGTGTTTTTTGATTAACATAATAACTTTCTTTTGTTTAGGACTAAGTAGGCTATTGTTGTGTGTTGTCTGGAATGTATACACATTGACATTGATTGGTGATCAACATATCAATTCTGGAAATTTTTGAATGGTCCTTTAAGAGAGGCGTGAAGAAGCATTTTTGCAGACCGGCAAAGTGAGGGTGGTTGATGTAGCAGTTTATAACTACTGTGCCAGCTATCTTCGCGTTTAGACTTTATCACCACTTAACATCAGGTGGGGTAGGGTCATATGCCTACCTCGCTATAAAAAATTAAGATAAAATTTAAGAATGAATGTTTCGATTGATAGTGGAAAATGTACCCATATTTTAATTTCCAGCCATCATGTTCACAAAAACTAAAAAATAATATCGTAAAATTTGTTGGATGAAAAATGTTGTTTCCATAGTTTTTAGACTAAATACCAATTTCTTTCGTTAAGATAAGTTGTTTCAAAAATGATAGAGTGAAGTTTTAATTATTTCATCAACTTTATTTATTTACATAAATACGATAAGTGTGTGTGGTCGGGTCCTGATCTTGTATCTAATAATTACAACTTATAATTTTATGATAAACGGTTAGGTAGGTTAGTATATACTAGTGATGTAACGAATATTCGCATATTTTTGAATATTCGCATTCACTGCAATGTTTTGCGAATATGAATATTAGAAAAAAACAATTTGAAGAAGTTGTAGTTCTTCCTTTCCTTAAATATTCATTGTTACACAGCTTGCATTTAGCTGGTTCAGCATCGCAATGTGCGAAATAAGTCCATATTTTACTAAAATTTGATTTATTCATGTTAATAAATCACTATTCAAACTCTAACCTCTAAATTCACTTGTTTTGTTTACGAAAAGACCGGCGCGAGCGGAATGACACTTCAGTCGGATGAGGTCCAAAACATATATGTTCACATTCGCGAATGTCGGTACCAGATATTCGCATCCGCATTCGCATTCGCGAATGTTCAAAAAATTAAATTTGTTACATCACTAGTATATACTATATATACTAACCTTATATAATCTGTACATTTATTTCACATAATCGTCTCTATCAATAATCAATTTTAGAACCACGAGTAGCTTATAAGATTTTATTATTTTAAGCATTGAACTGCTAAAATATAAATTTTATTCAGTTGTCCCCGCGCCGGCGAGGAAGCAACTACCTATACTATAGCGACTATTTTTTCGCTGAAGAAACGTACAATACTTATTATCCATTCCGTGTAAACAAAAGTGACGCATATTAATAGTTAATCGCTGCCTGATCACACTGCCGGCGAGAATTTTCTCCATTTATTTATCGCATAGCGACAAGAGCTATCAAAGATAATACTCGCTTAGTGATACTGCCTCAGCAATGCTCGCTTGTCTCAAAACGTGCGTACGCGTTCATTTTTGCTCAGGATAATTGTCTCCGTGAGCGAATGGCGCGAGTAATCACCCGTCGTACTCGCTCTCTTGCTTACTTACAGACGAGCGATAAAACTATCGGAATTACACACTCGCTTCCCGCTGCTCGCCAACTCGTTTTCTAGTTGCTTGCTCTACTCGCTTCTCGTTCATCATCGGTGGTTTGACCAGTGCCTAAAGAAAATTACTAGAAATAAATTCCACGCGGTCCAGGCTTCAGACAGGATCCTTCTGTCTATCCTATCTGAGATATCTAATTTTTTTTTTGAACAATAAGTAGAACAATAAGAAACGTCAATAAATAAATAAAGTTTCGTGCATTAACCCGTAAAAAACTAGTTTTATTTAATAAGTAGTTGTTTTGAAACAATTAAACTTTTTGTACCGTTTTCATTGCGATTTTAATGTATGTGGGTTCATCAATGTTTATATATAGAACTAGGTCAGTAGTTATCGATATAATCTACAACTAGCAATGATTAGGCTTATAAATTAATCAACGTGGAAACAGTTTTTAAAATAAATGTTAAAGACAGTAAGTTTTATTTTTTCAGTATAACCGGCCTAATATTATTGTCATTGTAACTTCAAAGGAACGTAAATAAAATACGTTTTAGTACGTACTTTTTTAACTTTCATTGGTAACTTCGTTGAATGCTTACCTGTTTTGATTTTAAATTCGTTTAGTAGTAAACTCTTGGACGAATATTCAAACTTATAATTAATAATTTCAGTATTTTATTTATTTCATAATGTTGCTCCAATAAGCCTGTGTGCGTAGTTTGACACATCCTAATATAGAAAGTACTTATTTCCTATTCTCCCGTTTAAGAAAACAGTGCACAACAGAATGTTATTTAGTTTCACTCTATAATACTACTGATTGACTCTTAATCATCATTAATCAGTATCAGTCAATTGTGTACACACATGGCGTGTATCAACTGTAAAAGAGACACAAGCAACCACTTGACCGCTTGACAAATACATATCACCGATATTGAAACCGCACAGCGATATCGAGTAACCGAACGTCAGATTTCACATGAACCGACAACACCGTAAATAATACATTCTTAGCACTTCGAAACTTGAAATTTAATAGATAATAATACCTTGAAAAACAGAATCAGCTGCTTCTACTCCTGTAGTTAGGTATAGCGCGAAAAAACCGCACTATTCAAATCAGCCGAAGTCACACATTACACACACGTACATACAGTCACCCCGCACTTGTCGTTTACAGACTGCCACTTATTTATCGCACATAAGAATATATTGGTACGTTAAGCCCGAGCATGCGCGTGCGACTGTATGGCGAATATTGTCATCTGCTCGCCCGAGCCCACACGCCGAAAACCATGAGGCGGACGGCCTTGGAAACCTTGTATGCTAAACGCAACATAGAAATCAGCAGCTCGACCACAAACGTGGAACTTGTAACATCGATATAAGTGCGGTAGGAGGTATCGAGGCGTCGTGTTAGTTGTGCTTTGTGCTATATTCATACTGGTTGTGAAGTCGGGTCGGATTAAGCTTAGTGGCACCGCAGCGGTCTTGCGGACCTATAAACATCTTGACCGAGTTCAATGAGATTGTGCCATGTTTATTGTCTGAAGTTGCCCAGTGGAAACAATCTTTTGTTTTAATTTCAGACATTCCTCCTCTCCTCTTTTGAATTTAAAATTAATGAGTACAGCTGTTTTCTATAAAATTTTCCACGGGTATTACAATATACAAGTAAAGAAATGTAAACAAACTTGTTTTGTACTCTAATCCTCAAACTTCTTGTTTTAATAAAATTGGTTATGCAATGTCATTAACCATAAAAATATATAATAAGGTACCTGACAAAATAAAGCAACTGTGCTACAACAGCTTACGGTATTGAAAAACTGGCTATAAGGCCCACTTGCACCAAAGTTCTTAATTCAAGTTTTAAAGCTAATCTAGTATAAGTCACATTCTATCTTTTTTTTGACTTCAAACAATTCACGAAGATGGAATAATGTACTAAACACGATAAAGCCTGAACTCGAGTAAAGAACTTTCGTGCAAGTGGACCTTAGAGAAATGTTTTAACTTTGTAGAGGATTTATTTAAATAAGTCATGGTTATTAAACATGGAAATGGATATCGATTTTAATTAATTTTATTTTGGATATATCATAACAAACAACCGTTATTTATATTGACATTGAATTGAATTTACTCTAATATTATTATGATAAAATAATTATTACTGTATGAATGAAAGATAAAATTAAAAAACCGTAATTTGACTAATGTTAGAATTTTTCATACTATTAATATGGCTAATAAATAGGTTTAATTTCTAAGCTTATATCATATACTGTATATGCGAACACCTTTTGTCAGCCCTATTAAATGCAAATAAAGAGTATTCTTTTCTAAAAATATATATTATTTCGTAATAGGTGTAGGTGGTTTCAGCAAGCGATTCAAACATTGACCAAATTATTCATTATATATTAACTACTATACAATTATTGTGTATCGTAAAAGTTCAAAATCATCTAGCATTCATCATCAAAATTAAAAACGGGTCTTGCAAACGAAAAGGATATCGTCAGTCATATTTTGAATCAGATGTAGTATTGCCGCTCTACCTTGGTTCCAACCACATGGTGAAAAACATGGAAAACTGACCTTTCTTGTCTATGACTATTTAAATATGTATGAAGCTCAACCAGAAATTGTGGTCGTGGCACAATATTTTTTTGTTACACGCAAGCCGCGCATATATACAATTGCTTTATGGGCTCTTTTTATTTATTTTGCCGCTCGAAGTAAAAACTTAAATACACATTTTCTGAAAATTATAGCAGAGGCTTAATCACTGATAATTCTCCGTACTTTGTTTTTGGGTATTAAATAAAAAAAATATAGCAATTGGTAATAATAAAGAATTAACTGAACAAAATCGGTGTCTCTTATCTATAAGTATATGATGTTTAAATTATTTGTATTTGACATTTGACTTGTTGCACAATAACATGTAGGTTGGGGGTATAATGTTCATTTAGATTAGGTGCTTTGAACTTGGGTGACAACGCCGAGCACATTTTTTTTTAATTTTTAACCAGCTTTTGATAAACAGAAAATCTATGCTTAAAGTAGTTAGGTGGTGTTTTGGTTGATATCCAACGCTATTCTTTAATATCGATGTTCACATCACTCAAATGACATTTTTAATTCGATGATAAAAGGTAATATCGTTGTCATAAATTTGTAATGAGGGGACAATATTTTTTCTCTATTTTTAACTAGAGGTGCTGTTTCACCTGTTTTGATTTTTGAGGAAAATTTAGACATATGCTGTTCTACGTACAACTAAAAATTACGTCTTATGTGATTTTTGTGTAATTTTTACCGTTTAGGCAGCGGACGCAAAGTGTTTTTCACCGTTTTAGTAACATTTTTATTGGTACTCCGCTCCTATTAGTGGTATCCTTATGTTAAATAACCTATAACCTTCCTCGATAAATGCACTATCCAACCCAAACATTTTATTATTCAAATCGCCCAAGTAGTTTCTGAGATTAGCGCGTTCAACCAAACAAACAAACACCTCAGCTTTATAATATGAAGAATAGATTCTACTGCAGACTCTATGGAGCTTTCGGAAGAGCAACCTAAGCGCAATCTTGTGTACAACACTACCGTCCATAGAGCAACACGCAGGGCCGACGCGTCCTGGAGGGAAGTAGGCATACACAGCTTTCGCCTCTGTCGAGTTGGGAATATAAATGAGGCATACAAACGATACATGTGTGCAAGATTTATCGATGTATTGTGTTACTGTTTATATGTGAGTGTCGTAGTTTAAGTTTTGTTTAAATGCGCGTACGTTAAACTACTCTTGTGTGCATATCCCTATCCCCCCCCCCCCCCCGCCCCGCATAAAATTACAGAATGATTCAAGATTCAAGTATTATATCGCTATGACTACTCCCTTCCCCTCTATGCTACCGTCATAAGAAAATGTTGATTATTGGATAAATTACAATAAAATAAAATCCTTTAATTCAATAGTTCCATAAAAGTCGTATAAATACTACTATTTTCAATCGTATACTTTGGAAAAATAAGATATTGTATATTTGTTTCGCCTAAAATACAGACAAATTTTGAAGTCGGTTTTTCATAATATATTTTTATAATTATTCATGAGACTGTGGACAAAGTCTATTAGCCTTATTAAAAAATATGGACCTGAGTTAAACTTTGTTCGAACCATTGCTGTCTGTCTTCTTTTTAAAACGTAGCATCATCATTTTTACGACTTGTTTGAAGCTTATAAGTTAAAATACCTATAGTAATTAATTTCATAAAAGCAGTGGCAAACATTATTTAAAAGAAGAAAATCAATTTTATAATTTACTACCTAGAATAACCTAGAATAATGTCAGGTTTCTGTGGGACTGTAAAAAAACTAAAGTTAATGCAGAAAAAGTCGCGGTCGGCCGCTAGTCACACTAATATTATAAAGGCGAAAGTTTGCGAGTGTGTATGTTTGTTACTTCTTCACGTCGTAACGCTTTTAGCGATTTTTGGTATGAAGTTAGCTGATGGCCCTGAATTAACACATAGGCTACGTTTCACTGCAGAAAAATATCCCTAATAAACCGCGGGTAACACCGCGGGGCACAGGTAGTCTAATATAAATTGAACATTTTTTTTGTAATATTTCAGGTGATCAACATTAGTTAAAAATAAATTGTCCTAGGTACACATTTTAGTTAGATTGTATGAAAATAGCTATTTATTACACGGTAGATGAGAAATCATTGTTACTAAACGACAATAAACGATCATGCATGATCCATAAAATTGATTAACATGCATTACCCGAATGCTGCTTCATTTACATTGACCACACTTGAATATAAATGACTTAATTAAAACTCTAGTATTGCGTTGAAACAGTATTACATATCCGCTAAACCGAAAATATCCGTGATAACATTTTCCCCTAATATTAAAAGAGAATTTAAAAAACACATTCCGGATAAGGATATTAATAGGTGTAGTTTTTGCTTGATTCTCTAAAATCAAAACTAAATTTAATAAAAGCATTTTGTAGAATCAACTTTTGTCAAATTATGTTTGGGATTCAATGGTGTCAGAATCAGGCCCAATTTATATTAAACACGAAATTTAGTTTCACCAGTATGCTTTCAGTTACTCTTTCACGTCTATAACCCAATATAAACAAAAAAAAACTACTAACTTTCGTTGCAAAAATAAATCAACAAGTGGTTGAAATAGGAGCTAAAAGTGTGCATGCAAAACCAATAGTTGTGCGCAAACGAGCAAAAAAGCGCCTTAGAGCTCGTTCCCACTTGTCGGGTGTCGGATCCGTATATTAATCGGAGGTTCCAGTGGTAGAGCATTATATAGGAAGCTATTCACACTTATCGGAAACCGATTTTGTGTCGGCTCCGACAAGAAGTGTCGGGTGTTTTGCCAGCCCTCTACGCCCGGAAAAAAATCGTGTCGGATCTCGCTCGCCTATGATTAAGAATGGAGCTGTTCATATTTGTCGGGAGTCGGGGCTGACTATCCTCCCCCGCTACCCCTTGTTCCCTTTGTTCTTCTTCAGTACAAATGCAGTCTCTAAGTCCTAAGGTAGATTTATGTGGTATGTTCACTAATATTTGAGTCAATAGGACGTTGAATGTTGATATTGACATACTAAAATAATTGAAACACTTAATTTCGTCACGTCACGTTAAACGGATGGGCGCTGAATATTTTTCTGAAACGTTGCCGTTGCATGCCTTTGGAACCCTACTGCTGCATTCATTTAGTACTTCAGCCAAATACAAGACAGAATTATCGACATTATTGCAATGAAGTCCATTTCAATACGTTTCTAACTACACTGAACCTTAAACTTTACTGTTACAGTATAGAAAACTAAATATCCGTTGTCATCAAACTTTAACATTACTATCGTCTGACCTTTAATATATAGTATATGAAATGTTTTTGCTTTAAGTTACTTCAAGCGCATGAGTAAAAAGACGTACAGAGACAAAGCTTCATACAACCGTGCTCCATCGTTTCACTACTACAAGTAAGACGCGCGTGCGTGAGTAAGCACTGGCTGTCTGTCATGTACGCAGTCACACGTCAGTGCCAGTGCTCGAGTGCAGGGCTCGCGGAACACTAGCGTTGTATTTGTTTACGAATTTTCGTATTTCGTTTTGAAATAATAAAAAGTTTAAAAAAATAAAGTTAATAAAGTTTACTGTTTTGTGCATATGAAAAATAATAGAATAAAGAAATTTTAACTAGTAAAAGTTCTTACTGGTAAAATTTCTTTAGATTTAAACATCTGATGACTCTCATGGAACA